TTGGTCGCCACAACTTGGCCAATTTTATCAAAGGGTCGCGGCACTAGAAAGGTTGAGAACCGCTGTCCTGAGAGGTCCCTGTACCCCTATTCCTGTCTAGCTGTCAAGGTCACTAGTATATGATCGCTAGAGTGGTGTTAATGTTTTCTATCCGCATCTGACTATCAATGTTCATTGTTCAATTTTTACAACTATATTTGTTTCTACTGGACATAAATACTCCATTACTTTATTTTTGTAGCCAATATACAGTAATATTGTTCGGTATCCAAGTAATGTATACACAGTTTGGTAGGTTTTGTTCCTTTAATTGCATGTACCAATAAAAACATAGACCAAGACACGGCAGTCAGAGAGGACAGATGTAAATGGTCCAGCCAAGCTTACTATAGGATTTGCTGAAACCCTGTTTGTTTTGCCACTACAGCTTCATACCTGAATGCAAAATGACTTAGATATGTAAATATACCAGTAGGTTGTATCTACATGGGCCCATAGCTCTGTTTTATTCCGAATTATTCAAAACAACTACCTATATACCTGTATGTGGTTTAAGTTGCTTTAGGTTGCACTGTAGCCATAGTAGATGCTTCTGGATTTTAAACACTTTGATTATCAAACTAGAATACTATCACTAGATGAATTACAAAATTATATGGAATTCAGTGATGACAGGAACCCAATAACCAAATTTGTATACATTACAGACAAAAATGTGTTTCCTATGATTACTTTTGTTTGAAGGAAACAACACATGTTACACCTCTGCAGGTTTGATTTTAAATTCCTAACATAATGACTACATTTGTAAATGTGTATTCTATACGTATTGCACAATCAACCCAGCAACATAACAATCCATTTAGACTAATAGCGACCGCAGCAGTGACTAGTGACTCTACCAAGACCTCCAATAGTGTTTTGGGCAACCTGTAACCTTCCATTGGTTGAGAAGCTAACAGTCCAGGTAAGCCAGTGGCTGTCAGTACATGTTAGAGCTTGCTGTGGCTCCTCAACAGTTGGATAGCTAAATATGCCATAAAAATAAAGCTTAAAATATGATTACCCTGAATGTGGATAGATCTGGGTTTTTTAAAGTGAGCTTAAAAGTTTGCAAGGACATGGAAGCTCACTGTATATGATAGCACTCTCTACCACAGAACTTGTACTACAGCTTAATATACATGTTTTAAAAATTGTGTTTACTGGGATACTATCTGACCATCAAGGGATCTTGATTCCTGAAAGACACGTCAGCCTTTTTAATGAAAATGGCAAACAGAAATATGCAAAGTATCATGATAGCAGCAAACGAGAAATCATCCTTCATTGTTCTGACTGCCCCAGTGTAATTAAATGTCAATTAAGATTGATTTCAATAGAATACTGTACAGAATTTGTGATGGATGATTAATAATAACCCTACATTGCCTTATATAATAAATTCACGGGGAACTTCTATCACAAATCTCTTGGGCCTTTTAGAAGATGAAAACATGGCACCTGGCAGTCAAAAATTCATAACTTAGGTAGAATAATTTTTTAGAGAACTTTGGTGTTCCTAGATTACCTGTTGTAATTTTCTATATCTCAAATACCATTCAGTCTTTATAATTATGATATATTAAAAATTCACATAAGTGTGTAGAATGTTTTGCATACAGCAGGAATCTCTTCAGTGAATGCATTGGCTAGTACCATCCTCTCAGGTATTTTACATTAAGTCACCTGAAAGGACCACCAAGGCATATGGGGGTCTCAGGGTTTTGGTGTTTTTCAGTGTAACTCATTCATAGCTTAGAACAGAGTTTCTCAACCTTCTTTCCGTCTTGGACCCCTTTACCAGTATGCAAAATCCTGAGGCACACAAGTCTAAAATTTAAAAAAAGTAAATGTAAAAGAATGATGTGTGGTTCTCCCAAGTCTATATCAGACCCTTATGTTAGATTAAGGGTTTGGTATGGATTTTACCAGGGGACTCCACACACAAAAAATTATGTAGAGTCTCCCCTTCATATCAGAGTCCCCACTTCACAACAGGAACGCTCCCTTCACATGGCTGGCTCACCTGCGCCATGGAAATACATTATACTGTAGATATGGGCAGAGGCATGCTAGGAGAAGGCACAGTTGTGGCTGGAGCCTCTCCTGTCTGCACATCACCAAGCATTTGTCTGCATTGTGATGGACCAATTGTCAAACTGACAGCTTAGTCCTGCAGATTAAACAGGGAAACAGGCTCTCCCAAGTAATCAGATAGCTCCACTGTCTGTTTTTGACAGCTGGCCCAGCTGTGTATGAGAAGCGCTGACACTGATCCTGATACGCAGAGCACAGAGAAGGGCTGTCAAAAGAGACAGCAGAGCTCTGCTGATTACACAGGGGAGTGCTGACCTCTGAGTGTTATCCCACATTTTGGTTTGCCATCAGAACAGGAATAGATGTAAGATGTGCAGAACACCAGGGAATTCCCTCACTTTGGAGGGATTTCCTCTCACTTCCTGTTGTGGCTATCGGACAGGAAGCGAAGGGAAACCTCCTCAATGGGACACAGATGGCAAAAATAGCTGACAGGGGTTATAAGCCTCCCGTCCTCCATCCAAAACTAAAAAATGTTTTGGCTTCAGTTCTACTTTAAGTGTACAAAGAAAAAAAGAGCAAAAAGTTAAGGTCTTGATCCATGTGCCTTAGCTGCTTTGAGCAGCTATTCTGTGAATGGTTATTACAGCTGTTCCCTGGAGTTTCTGCTAAAATGTAAACAAAAACTGATACAAAGTTACATGGCTGTTACATGAATTAACAGATAACTCTTTTGGGTTTTGGGAGGACATATACTAACCTCCTCCCGTGACCCAAAGCTCAGTATATCGCGGGCTATTGCCCACGATATACTGAGAGTGCTGCAGCCAGGACGGATCCCAACAATACTGTCGAGATCCACCCAGCTGTGTGAGTGACAGCTGGCTCTGCCTATCTAGAGGTAGAGGCAGCTGTGCCCGCCCCATCCCCGTCCATTTCACCACTCAGCGCTGGAGGATCGGAGAAGGAGGGGGGGATACCTGCTGGGAGAGCTGTGACTGACAGTCACTGTTCTCTGCAGGGAGATGATCAGAAAGTGAGCAAGCAATGGTATGTGTTCGCTCACTTCCTGATCAATAGAGCCGATGTGTGACAGCTTCTTTGTCACATGTCGGCTCTATGAGCATGAGTGGAAATTACTCACCTCATAGTTCTCCTTTTAACTGCAATCTATCTGTGTTTTTTTTAAACAGGAATTGCTGAAGAACCCCAATGCAGATAATAGATTTATAGATTTGTTGTTAAATAAAAACCTAAAAAGAGTTTATTTTAAATCTACTGGGTAACAAATAGTTAGGTGGAATGTATGCTACTTCTTGAATCACCAACTCATCTGTAGAATGTACATTTTTATTAGTGCGGGAAAGTATTTTTATCACTATACTTCCAGCGCTCCAAAGGTAAACTTGTGGCGCTCCTACACAGGCGCCACACTGTTGTTCCTCTGCCTCTCCTCTCTAATAATTTCCTGGAGTCCTTCCTTAAATTACTATTTTTCTATTTAAGCTTTCATTAACCCATTGTTACATGTAATTAACCCTAAATAAATATTTCTTCTCCCTTCTCTCCTTAATTTTTCCCCAATATTTAAAACATTTATTTATTGCTGGTATGAACTTTCTTTTCGGTCATTTTATTTTTTGTAGCCTTATTTTTTTTTAAATCGCATAAAAACATTGAAACAAAACACCTTTATTTTGTTTCCAAATAAGATTGCCATGCTTTGTGTTTTATTAAACAAGCATTCAATAAAGAAATATTATTTTGTTGTCAAAATAGACAGGACAAATGTAAAGCAGAATTCCAGGTTCAAGTTTTTCTTAACCCTTGCAGTGGGGCTAAGTGCTCATTTTTGTCTAGGTTCAAAAATAACAAACTTACTGTATACTCACCTGATCCCCGGGCTTGCTCTTAGATTGGTCCTCTCCACCTTGCTCCCCTTCGCTGCAGCGGTCTAAGGTCCCGTGAGTCAACACAATCTATACACTGTATACTGGACGAGAGGACACCGAGGGTTATATAATCGCTGCAGCCAAGGAGGAGAGAGGCAGTTTACCGGTCTTAAAACAAGCCGGCTCTGAGGATCAGATGAGCATAACTTTGTTATTTTTGAACCTAGACAAAAACAAGCATTAAGCCCTACTGCAAGGGTTAATAGTTTTTTTGTCTCCTGGAGTACTACTTTAAAATATAACTAGCAGTTGATAGCTATAGCAGCACTTGTTATTTTAAACATTACTGGTCAAACTGGGAAAAAGAGTCATTTCTGTAACCTGTGTTGGCCGTGCACGCTACATTCAGATGTGCAGGCTCCATCCTTCTCAGCTGAGGGGAGGTGGAAGTAGAGGTGGGGAGTACTTTGGCATCCCCACTGTGAGATCCTGTTAAGGTGGCCATACACCTTGCGATCATCGGACGAAACTTTTCGTACGATGATCGAATCGCCGTACGATTGTCGTATGGCGGCCCCATCCTGCCCCAAATATCGCAAGGTTCAATCGTAAGGTGTATGGGCACCTTAAGAGACACTTTAATAAACGAGGCCCACGCTGATATACATCTTAATTACAACCCAGTAATACACACCAGCAGATCCACCGGTTTATTATTGTAGACGAGCTACAACTCCAGTGGCCTCATGCCAGCTATCAGTCATGATAATACTTCCACAACAGGACACCTGCTGTAATACACAGCACCTGCATTATTCAAATGGGAATAAGAGACTTTGTTTAGAGAAGCTACAAGCCAGATGTAGAACAGATGCAATCTATAGGACGAAAAAAAAATGCTAAAACAAATGCATAAGAATAATGGAATCATGAGAAAGTTATTGTTTGAAAATCCCCAGCCTGACGCCTGTGCTAAGATATGGGAGAGGGCACTGAACTGAGACGGAATATGGACATTTTGAGACTTACCTGTTTCTCAGTGTTGTGTTGCCCTAGAACCAAGCTTTGTGACTATATGTCTTCCAGCAGGGTCTTCGATCCACCTGCGGTATGGCGTGCCGGTTGCTTCTCAAGAACAGATGTATAAATACTGATGTCAACACAACTTTTCAACTTCCAGAATTATTAAGGTCAGACCTCTTTCTCCTTCAGCAAGCAAGTTTTGGTTTCAACCAGGTGTGAAGATCTTCTGTAGGTTCAGATCTGTCAGTGTCCCTCTCAGAAAAGCCTCAAGGTACAATGGTGTCTATATGGTTCTCTCAGGTAGGCTGGTACAGGTGTCTCTGTTTCTCTCCGTCTCGGTGAAGGTTAAACCTGACCCTCCCAGCTCAACAAACAGGAGAGAACAGGAACTGAAACATGAATATTTATGGGGAGGACACACCTGTCACATTGTAACAGAGTTCAGCAGGTGAGTGTCACAGGAGTGTGCAACAATAGAAATCAGGACTGTTTCTCTGCACAACCTACATGTGTACTGTATATAAAGGTGAAAGTCAAGATCCTATAGGTTTGGTTTATTTTTTCTTGAATGTTAAGGCAGTAGGGTTACAGCGTGCGGTCTAAACAGGAAGATGGCAGCGGTCCAGCTGTTCAGTAACCAGACGTCCCAGTATTTAGTGTTAGCTACCTGCTGGAAATGCATTCTGCCAGTTATAATACCCCAACAGCTGGAGGGTAATACATTTTTCCACTATGGGCCATCACACACTGGCTGGAGCAAAAGGTAAAGGCAAAGTCCACCTTTTACAAAAGAAATTATACATGCACACTTCTTCATAAAAGAAAAAATGTGCATTTAATATTTTTTTGCATTGCAGCCCCAATCAGTGGATCGTGGGTGCAATGTTCTGGCTCCTGCAGACTCTTCCTCCTGTCCATGTTCGTACCACGGTACAGACATTCAGCAAGTGTCAATGTGTCTACAAGTGAGGTGACGTCACTTGTATTGCATTAAAGTCCCTCCGCTGCGGTGGCTAATGGGACTTGTGGTTTCACCATTCACCGGTCTTGTCAAAGGATCGGCCATATTTCATGTTACATCCTAAAAATGGGTGTAACATAAAACATGGTCAGAAAGGTAAACTTAACCTTTAGACGTACCTACACCCATACAAATAATATATTTTTATCCGCCTCCACATTCCTTCATCTTACACAATTGCAGATTTTCTTTTTTTTTTAACAGTAAATACCCTAAAATGTAATTGCCCAGGCAAGGATGATGTATCCGGAATGTCTAAGTCACACATCCCAGGAGGCAGCCTGAGATATGTCGCTCATGCGCATATGCTCCATGGGTGCCTTGCGGGTCTCTGGCAGAGATTGGTGGTGTGTGTGCGCATTTGCAGATATGCCACCGGTCTCTGCCAAATCTCACAGACTGTTAGCACACAGCATAATGAAGGCTATATGAATGTTATTGTAATCCTTTTTTTATATATATACAACAATTTTCCAGTGTGAGAATTTGTTATTTTCTTAGCCATTTTCTTGGCTTATTTATTTTTTCTCATATATACACATACATTTTTTAAATATTTCTATCCAGAGACGTCCCTATAATGAGGCATCCCATTGTGTCACATGGTGAGGTGTGGCTGCCGCCCCCTTTCCGGGCAGAGTGCCCGGGTTGCTAAGGGTTCCCACCCAGCACCTGGCACACCAGTGATGTCAGTGAGCTGGATAGGACTCTGTGCACCCAACCCCCCCC